GGTGGGAGGAAGCCGGAGTACCCGGAGGGAACCCACGCAAACACGGGGAGAACATGCAAACTCCACACAGAAAGACTGTGGGGGAATTGAACTCAGGACCTTCTTGCTGTGCGGCAACAGTGCTAACCACCGTGCTGCCCAAAAATGAAACCATTGGTTCAGAAAAACAAAACAGCAAACAAAGTGAGAGAAAAGATAGAAAGTTTGGAATAGTTTCTCCTCTGTTATTGTTGTAAAATAGCTTTAAGAGTGTTTTTTCTGGATTGGAGTTTGAATAAAATAAGCAATTTGAGGTAAGTTCACTAAACTCTTGGGCCTTTTTGCTATTTTTTTACCTTTTAAAAAGTAATTTCTTTAATTTTCTGTAATGAAATTATGAACATTTCCTTTTAATTTAGGTCAGAGTCTTATGTCACTGTGTTCACTGATAGTCAACATATCTAAAATTTCACCTCAAAAGTTGATTTGACTAGCTGACTACACTGAAAAAACCTAGGGGGAAGTTTCTGATGTCAAAGAGAACGAGAAGGAAACATGTTTTTCTTTCCCTTTGTGACCACAATTAATTGTTGTTAGGATGGTAAGAAAAGCAGGAAATCCTATCTCAACGGCTCCATTACTGTTGGGTGTGAACTGAACTCCCTTTTAGCGTGATGACGACACTATCTATTTATCTGGAAACAAGATGCTGGATATCTGCTTCGTCACAGTATCAAATTCTGCATTCACTTTGATTATAAACTGATGCAATGAACATATTTAATAGCACAACTGTCAATGTTTAAAGCAGAATAAGCAACCACAGAGACGTGTAAGCCTTTTTGTACTCAAGATACTTCAAATAATACAGATCAAACCCACCTTTCTCAGTGTCTGATGACAGTTCTAGTGCTAAAGGCGTGCTGTCACTGGCTGTTGAATATTTTTGCCGCAGGCTGAAAGCCAGCTCCTGAAAGTCGTCCAGTATTTCTGTTTCTTCATCCAAATTACTTGTGTCCATATGGTGATCATAGTCGTGTTTAGTGTGCCGGCTATCAAGCATCTTCTCAATCTCGTCCAAGATAGTGTTCTCAGAGGCTTCCAAGATGCCTTCGAGCGCATTTTCAATGTCCTCTGTAGTACCCGTCTGTGACTGACGGGTAGCCTGAAACTCTATGTCCAGATCCATGAACATGGCCTCCAGTTTGAAGAGATTTTTTAGACCCAGAAGCTTTTGGACCTGCTCCATCTTCTCCTCTGTGAAGTGATCCCACAGCAGAGTCAATCTCATTACGCTTTCGCTGTATTCTGGCTCTGGAGGTGACACGGTAGGTGGACTTGTTTCAGGCAAGGTTTTGTCTGACTGCGAGAACAAAAGCGCGTTTTCATCTTCAAGTAATTCTTCTCTCTCTTCATCGTTCCCCTCCTCCGCATCTGGAGTCTCATCTTCTTCCATCATCTCCCTTGTATGTAGTGCATCCTGAATCTCTGGCTCATCAACAGGTGATTCTGCTCGACTGTTATTACTTCCTAAATCTGTCATTGAATCATCAGGTATCTGATTAGGCAGGCTGTCATTTACTATGTTATCATCATCTCTGAGGTCTGAGTCACTGGACCTCTCATTAGCGGACAAGTCGAGGTGTTTTTCACTTTCGGTCATGTTTTCTTTTTCATCCACTGCACTGTCTAATTTCTGCTCTGCAGCAGTAATACTGTCTGGTATTGCTGCCTTATCCTCAGTGACATCTGGATCTTTGTGCACCTCCTGCTCATCTTTGTCTT